ACCCCCCAGCTCTGACCCACAGCCCCCCTTGCTGTACAGAGCAGTACCCAGTTTCCTTGCCCAGCCGTGAGGGGGCTCTGGCTGTGGATATGTGGGGGCTGAGGGGTGGGGAATGGCCACTCTGGGGGGGGAGGAGCCAGGTGTGCTCATGACCCCCCTAGGCAGCATCTGGGGTTCAGCCGGGAAGAGGAAGCGAAAGTGAAGTTTGAGACACTTCCCTGTCCCTGGTTCTAGCCGGGGGATTGCACAAGGGGATGTGACAGCAACAGGAGCTCACGGAAACTTCTTCCCTGGGGAGATCAGCCCGACCCCCACACTGCCACCAACCCAGCCAGAGGCCAGCCTCCATCCCCCACCCGCTCCCCTCGGGTCACAGCCCGCCATGCCCACAGCTCCCCCCATCTGTCACTTAGTACAAGGGAATTGCCCCAGAACCTGGGAGCCCGGACTCCTGGGTTCCCCGCACTGTTGCCAGCAGAGAGAGGTCTAGTGGATTACAGTGGGGGCAGAGGGGTTGCGAGCAGGACTCCTGGGTTCTGTCCCCAGCGCTGGGAGGGGAGTGGAGTCTAGTGGGTTAGAGCAGGGGGGCTGGGAGCCCGGACTCCTGGGTTCTCCCCATTGCTGCCAGCAGAGTGGGGTCTAGTGGATTAGAGCAGGGGGGCTGGGAGGCCGGACTCCGGGATTCTGTCCCCAGCGCTGGGAGGGGAGTGGGGTCTAGTGAGTTACAGCGGAGGGGGCAGAGGGGTTGCAAGCCAGGACTCCTGGGTTCTGTCCCTGGCACTGGGAGGGGAGTGGGGTCTAGTGGTTTAGAGCAGGGGCGCTGGGAGCCTGGACTCCTGGGTTCTCCCCACTGCTCCCAGCGGAGTGGGGTCTAGTGGATTAGAGCGGGGGCAGAGGGGTTGGGAGCCAGGACTCCTGGGTTCTCTCCGCAGGCACCCGGTGGACACTCACCAATCAGGAGGCAGAGGAAGGGCAGGGCAGGGCCCCACATGGTGAGCTAGCCCCGGGCCGGTCTACGGGCAGCGCAGCCAGCGCTCAGCCACTCTCCCCTCCAGCAGCGGCCAGGCGATTGCTACATGTTTGTGACGTTCCCCCTGGGGCCCAGCACCTGTCACAGTCATCCACATCCGGGGCTGGAGCGCGGCCCAGGCAGACCATGGCAAAGACACACAGGATGTGGGGGAGGGCAGAGCGCAGGGGCTGAGTCACATTTGCCAGCCAGAGGCTGTTGCTATGCCCCCCCCCGCTCTAACCACTAGACCCCCCTCTCCTCTCAGAGCCGGGGAGAGAACCCAGGAGTTCTGGTTCCCAGCCCCACCGCTGTAACCCAGACACCCGCTGAGGGTCTGGACCCACTGACTCCAACTCTGCCAGTCTCTCCTCACACCGTGCGAGCTGAGACCTTGCGCTGGCTGGGAGCAGTTTCCATTTGCAAATCATAGAATCTCAGGGTTGGAAGGGACCTCAGGAGTCATCTAGTCCAACCCCCTGCTCAAAACAGGACCAACACCAACTAAATCATCCCAGCCAGGGCTTTGTCAAGCCGGACCTTAAAAACCTCTAAGGATGGAGATTCCGCCACCTCCCTAGGGAACCCATTCCAGTCCTTCACCACCTCCTAGTGAAATAGTTTTTCCTAATATCCAACCTAAACCTCCCGCACTGCAACTTGAGACCATTACTCCTTGTTCTGTCTTCTGCCACCACTGAGAACATGTAGATAAATCTCTGCATTAAGCATCTTCGCATAACTTTCATATGACTTTGTATTATGCCTCTATTTTCATACAACTTTGTATCAGATCCTTATATAGAAAACTTTGTATTGAGCCTTGGTATAATGTTATAGCCCCTAAGGATAGAATAAGATAAAAGAAAAATGTCTCTTTCCTAAGAATAGACAAAGATTCCCGCCCACCCCCCCTTAATCAATTGCCCTGTTGAATGAAGGAGGTGCATCCCCAGACACCTGCAACACTTGGGGAGGGGATGGAAGCCAGACCCAAGGACAATAAAACTTGTCAAGTGGACTCACTAAAGAAGATTAGACATATTGACGGCCTGGGGGTTAGACAGCTTCGGGGGTTAGAAGCGAGCACCTTCTTTTGAAAACACCCTCTTTAAACAGCATGGGGACAACACCCAGAGAGAAGCAGCACAAAGGACCAATGGACAGAGACACAGATTTTGCATCTGGTATAGATTTGCATGAAAGGGAAGCTGCTATAAATGTGAGGTGTCTTGCAGAGGATCTTGGGTCTCGTCTTGTCAACATGGGAGCATCGATCTGGATCCGCAGAAGCCTGGCTCCACCCCTCCCCCATCTAACTCACCTGCCAGTGAAGTTAAGGGGAGCAACTAATTGGTAACAACAACAAGACGGAGGGTGTTTGTGTGTGTATGTGAGTGCATGAGTGTAATATATCTCATATGCATATGATACAGTGTTGATTGATACATGTATTACCAATAAATGTGGTGCTTTGCCTTATTCCCCCTGAAAAGATCCTGTGCAGTACTTTAAGTACAACAAACAGTCTAGATCCATCCTCTTTGGAACCCCCTTTCAGGTAGTTGAAAGCAGCTATCAAATCCCCCCTCACTCTTCTCTTCTGCAGACTAAACAATCCCAGTTCCCACAGCCTCTCCTCATAACTCATGTGCCCCAGCCCCCTGATCATTTTTGTTGCCCTCCGCTGGACTCTCTCCAATTTTTCCACATCCTTCTTGTAGTGCAGGGCCCAAAACTGGACACAGTACTCCAGATGAGGCCTCACCAATGTCGAATAGAGGGGAACGATCACGTCCCTCGATCTGCTGGCAATGCCCCTACTTATACAGCCCAAAATGCCGCTAGCCTTCTTGGCAACAAGGGCACACTGTTGACTCATATCCAGCTTCTCGTCCACTGTAACCTCCAGGTCCTTTTCTGCAGAACTGCTGCCTAGCCAGTCGGTCCCCAGTCTGTAACAGTGCATGGGATTCTTCCGTCCTAAGTGCAGGACTCTGCACTTGTCCTTGTTGAACCTCATCAGGGTTTTTTTGGCCCAATTCTCTAATTTGTCTAGGTCCCTCTGTATGCTATCCCTACCCTCCAGCGTATCTACCTCTCCCCCCAGCTCAGTGTCATCTATGAACTTGCTGAGAGTGCAGTCCACACCATCCTCCAGATCATTAATGAACATATTGAACAAAACCAGCCCCAGGACCGACCCTTGGGGCACTCCGCTTGATACCGGCTGCCAACTAGACATGGAGCCATTGATCACTATCTGTTGAGTCCAATGATCTAGCCAGCTTTCTATCCACCTTATAGGCCATTCATCCAGCCCATCCGTCTTTAAGTTGCCGGCAAGAATGCTGTGGGAGACCGTATCAAAAGCTTTGCTACAGTCAAGGAATAGTCAAGAAAAGTCAAGAAATTGACTTCCCCGAACGCGCCTCACTCGGCTGGCTTTGAAATTCGCTGTGACCCTTCGCCCGCCCCGTCACAGACATGCCCTGGCGCTGAGCAGAAGCCCCCACCCCTTGGACCCTTCACCTGCACCATGGACAGAACCCGGCATTTATGCACCATTACCACCCGTTCGCCCTTGGGCACACCCCATGGCAAGACAAGCCCCCCGCCCCACTGTGGACACAACCTAGCCTACGCAGCGCTCCCATGTGACACACCAGCCCTCGCAACCTATGTGTGTGCCCTTTTCCTCTGATCCCACAACCAGGCAGGGGGAACGGAGAGCGGCTCACAGACACTCCCCAAGGAGTGCAGGGCCCCCCCAAGATCACTCCGTGCCCTATTACAGCTCTGCCAAACAGCCAATCTGCTCGAACTAACCCACCTGCGGGGAAAATTCCAAGAAGATTTTGCCTGAGAAGCCAGGAGACGATGACTTACACTGCACATCCACTGAGACAGATGAAGACTGGCTATAGCTGATCGCGTTCTGAGCCTCACAGCTGTAGCTACCGGACCGCTCCTCTGTGGCAGGGAAGGTCAGGACGCTCTCTTGGGTCTCCTGATACTGGCTGTTATCCTTGTACCACGTGTACTTGGTCACCGGGGGGTTACTGCTGCCCACGGAGCAGTTCAGCGTCACCGCGTCGCCTTCCCGGATGCGCTGGGGGTTTTTGAGGGTGATTCGTACTTCCTTGGGGGGGTCTGGAAAAGAATCCAGGTCAGGGTGTGTCTCGGTGTTCAGGGGGCATTATAGGAAGGAAATAAAAAGGAGGGAACTGCCCCAAGCATAGTCAACGCCTGCCTGAGTCTGCAGAGAGCCTGCACCCATCGCTCCGAGACGGGGGAATCCATCCCCAGGTGTTAACTCCCAGCTCCACTGCGCTGAGGTCCTGTGTCCGAGCAGGGGGCTTTGTAAGGCAGGATGGGGAGAGCATCCCACCCATGAACAGACACCGTGGATGCTGAAGTACATACCGGGATCCCACCGGTCACACCAATGCCTCTGCAGAGGGCGGAAGGAGGTCCTAGGGGGAGGCTATGGCTCCTGCCCCTCCGGGATTCATGCAGGCTCTGCCACGCCAAGCTGGAGTGCAGATCCTGGATACCCCACCCAGCTGCAGCGCCCCCTGCTGGTCCCATGGCTACTCACACTGTACGTCGACTGTAATGGCCGGTGATTCCGACATCCCGACTCTGTTCCGAGGCTCGCAGTGGTAGGAACCGGACTGGTTGGGATGGATCTGGTCAAACCTCAGCTCCTGCTGGGTTTGTGCTGGGAGGTGCTGGCGGTTTCTGTACCATGTGTAGCTGCTGACAGGCGGATGAGCCCTGCAGGAGCAGCTGAGCACAACCGTGGTCCCTTCCTGGATGTGAGAGCCTGTCACCAGTTCAACACGCACGTCCTTTGGGGCGTCTGGGGAATAAAACGGCCCTGATTTAAACGGACTATTCTGTGGGAAACCCTAAATGACTTGACCAAGGTTACCCGGAGAGTCCAGTGGCAGAGAATGAACTGAACTTAGTTCCCCGGTGAACACCTGTCACACGGGCCAATCCTTTCTCTAGAGGTAGGGTGGGGAAACTGAGGCAGTGTCACTGCAGAGCCCTGCCTGATTTGGGGAAATGGCCATTATTTCTCGCGGGAAGTTTTGGAGGGTTACATCTGAAATGTTTGTGTTTTCAACGAAAACTCCCCAGACATTTCCTGTGAAAAAAATCATTTTCTGCTCTGTGATGGAGTGTTCACTCCACACC